ATCGACTGTATTATAATGTAATATCGAACTGGCGCATGGCTCGCGTGAAATTGCGATCTCGGGCCGTGGTCCAAACCGATACATATCTTTTCTTTTTTTTTTTTTATGTGGGTCGAAGCTGGGCCTCACTTTTTTTTAGTTTATTTTCGGAAGCCACAAAAATATGTCCCGAAAACGCGTAAAATTGACCTATTTATAGAAATATTTTAGGAAACAGCATTAATGAAGCGAGCACACACACATACGCACCGCGAGATAGTTTCACGATTATCGGTTACGATACACCCGTGCGTTCGCGCGAGTATGTGTGCCAGTGCTCGCGAGCCAAGTGCGTATAGAGAAAAAAAAACGAATCATGAAAGTTTCGCGTGCGTCGATTTATGTATCATACATTATATTTTATATTTACCCGTGTATCGGTATGCGCGCGTGCGCGCCGAGTTTTAATAAAATAATAACGACGAGTCACGCGGCGTAAGGAGATCAGTAAAAACGAGACAAAAAAAAACTGCTGTTCCGCGCGTCTATGTAGGAAATCTTTTCTCACGCGAGAGTCAAGCAACACAACTATAGGCAATTATAATTTACGCGGTCGTGCATACATATATAATATGTGTTATTCTATCTCAGAGCTAAAACAAAACTTGGCGCCTCGTAGTACGAGGCTTTGCACCGCTCGTGCACTTGACTTTCATCGACGGTTGTGTACAACACTTTTTTTATAGATAGAAAATGCAGGGACGACAGAGAGACAGAGAGAACTAAACAAGCTTTATTGCAGCTTATGTCAATCCGAGTTTTGATGAAAATTTATTAACTACAACAAAAACGGATAGTTTTGTCATTTATACATAGGCTGCGATGGGAAGTTTGATCTTTTTTACTGTATTACTTGATTAATGATTGTGAGCGAGCGGTGTCATAATATTTGTAAAATGACATTTCTCATGGACACATGCAAACCTTTATCAACTTTTAAATGAGAATAGAATAGTGTGACTAATCATGTAGTACGACACACATTTGATTGAAGGCTGATAATTTATATAAGAATGCAATCGAGCAATGGAAATTAATGGGGTTTATGACAAGAATAGACGCTTTGACATAATCAACGCTTTATGATTTAATTTAAAAAATTTAGTTTATTTTAAAAATAAAATTGCTTTAATTTACTTACATATTTACAGAATTATATGAATCACATGATCTCAGTTCATTGTTAACTGATGGATTTTTCTTTGAAACTTTGAGTTAGCCCTCCCAAGCGCAAATCAAAGGAATTGAATGCAAATTGAATATGACTTAGATCATCATTATAAGAAATAATCAATTTAATGCTTTTTGATTTTCTTCATTCTGTAATACTTGCCTTTAAGTTTATGAAGTCCCATGTACTCAAATGATTCTTGCGATAACATTTTAACGAGTACTCAAGATAAACTTGTAGTGTTATGATGATCTAATTTGATTTTTGACAGAACAGCCCAAGACATTGAATCTGTCATCAATGAATGGTCAAAATATTTTGCCATAATTATACACCAATTTCACACCTTCGTTATGTTCTGTATCTTCATCAAACATCATCACTTCCAGAATACACAATATCTTACTAAGTTTTTTCATATTCTTCCTCTTCTTGGGTAAAGAGCTCAAAATCAAAATTTAATCTATTAAGTATCTTTTGACTATCTTGAACTTCATAGAAAGAAATGAAATATGTGATTTGATCTTCTTCCATTTCCACCAAATCAGTATAAAGTTGAGTCTTGGGTAAAAGAAGATGACACCGCTTGAACCCAATGTTTGGTTTATTATAAACTTTCATTATTAAATTTAATAAGGATTCTGTGAATATTGTTTTTAAGAACTTTCGTTATAAGTTGTACAGACTCTTGTATCGACCAACGTTCAGTGGAATATAAGCACTGCATGAACACCTCACTTTTTATAAATTACTTTTTATACACTTTACTTTTGAATCTGATTACTATTCTTAACAATAAACCAACAATAAACACTAAAATATACATGAAATTCAGTATTTACAATTATGATTTTATGACACCTGACACTTATTTTCTCACTGAGTGCACAGTTGCTAAAGATGTTTTTTAAGATGAGCGATAAATAAACATCAACTGGTTGAAATTTATGCGCAGGACAAGTTAGGTAATGCACCATTGCGCTTAGCTCTGCGGCAGTAAGACGACAAGGAAACCAAGTCGTTGGTAAGAAACTAACCTAATTCCGAACAACGCAGCAGAACACCGGTTGTGCACTTGGTTGATGGATTTGAATTTGGTCAATCTAGAGAGACTGACACCTGTGACTGACACCTTGTTTGCAAGACCAGTTGCCAATACTGTTCGGTATGTTACATACCTGTATTTTGAAAAATTGTATTACCAGCATGCGCTTGTTTCGTGATAATTCTGCTGTTACCCAAATCAGTTCTGTAGGTTCTATAATAATTGTACAGCCTTTCCCCGCAATTAACGGTTTTACCTTTGGCGTCTTTGGTTCGCGGTGTAAACCAATGATCCAGTGTAATTGTAGGAAACAATTCCAATAATTCTTTGCGCAATTCCAAAAATCTTTCTCCAGTTATTCTGAAAAATGTAAACATACTTTTAATATAAATTGAAATTGAAATTTTTTTCATATCATAAACCACTTACAATCTGTAACATAATGTATTGTTACATCCCACAAGAAAAAGTAAAGGCATAGAAAGAAAGCAACAGTCCAGAAAATGAAAGAATTTAAAAACACAAGATTAGAGACAATACAGTATAAAGTTGTTAGTAACATAATAGTATGCAGTTGGTAGTATAGTAATATTAAAAGTATAAAATAAAACAACCTACTACAAAATAATTCTTACTTATAAGTGATTTTTTGGATAACCTTTTGTATTATGAATACTTTTAACCGCCTCTCTAATAAAATTTTTTCATATTTATAATATCCCAAACATATTCTTCCTTCTTCTTCTTTATCCAATATATAAAAAAGAGCGTTTTTTTGGAATTCAAAAGACTCTATAATTGATGGGTTTTGAAAAGTATGTAATTAATTGATTTTGAAAAAATATAAAGAGTTATAAAATTATACCTGGGACAGCATGTTTAGAAGCTTCTCTATCTAAGTCTTTACTATTACCAATAGAGCATGGAATTTCATTTTCATCATTAAGAATATTATCTTGATTAATATTCACATTCTTAGAGATATCAGCTTCATACGTCAAGGCTGCATCTTCAAGCAATTTTTTTTCTGAGGCATACATTTGATAAAAATCACCAAATAAATTTGGTTGATGTTTAAAAATGTCAAATAATGCCTCAGGTGACAAGGAATAAAATGTCTCTTTGACATTTGAAGCTGAAAATATATTTGAGAAGGAAAAAATTAGAAAGGAGAATAAAGATTTTCAAGTTTACTTATTAACTTAAAATTATATACTAAACAATGTATTTTATAAGTTTCAAATTCAAGTTGTAAAATCTCATGAATATCTATTCGCTTCAAGTTGTAAGTTCTCAAAAATTATCTATTTGCTTTACGCTTTAAGTTCTCAAAACTGTCTAGTCATTTGTAGTTACAAGTATTCTGAACTTCCCAGTCGCTTGGAGTTTCAAGAATTCTAAATTACCTATTCCCTTGAAATGTAAAATTGAATAGAATAGCACTTGTAATTCTGAGTGACAATAAGACTATAACATAAGACAATTAAAATACTTGATACTTAAAACAAATTTAAAACAATTCAGCATACTTGAAACTACAAGTAAATAGACATTTATAAAAAATTTAAACTCAAAGCAAATAGAGACAGTTTTGAGAACATCAACTCAAAGCAAATAAACAATTTAGAATACTTAAAACTACAGGTAAATAGACATTTTTAAGAAATTTCAACTTGAAGCACATTAACTATTTAGAACCCATAAAACTTAAAGCAATGAGGTATACTGAATGACCTAAACTCACATGAAAATCATTCAAATAATGAAAACTTAAAAGAGTTACAATTGAACCTATTGTGATATTGTTAGCTTATAATGAGAATTAGTGATTTAGACATAAAAAAGTTCAAAAAATAAGCAATCCACAAAGCACGCAATAACACACAATACCACATGAGGTTTATTGGAAGTCAAATGCATAAAAACAATGATTGACTTACCTTGCAACAAATCTCTTATTTGTGAAGAGATCTTGTATTTTTCTATAAATGCTTCCATTATTGAATTCTGTAGCAAATATAACAAAATAATTCACTGGTATACGAGCTGCACGGTGATACTAGAAATGCGTTATACACCGGCAGTCACCACGCTGTATAAAACAACACCTGTTATGTTAGCTTCGACGTTAGCTCTCAGCCCGCGCAATACCCAAGCGACTACGCTTCTTTGTACAACAGCCGCGCAAAAACGTACCGTCAGTGGACTCTCGGCCGTTGAGTCACTGTATTGCGAATGGGCGCTGTAGCCATGCGACGCTGACAGCCACTATGCTTTTACTCTCTCAGTGCGTGACTATATTTACGCGAATGCGTAGAAAAGATCGTAAAAACTGTATATAGACTGTAAAGTCAAATCCCGTGAGACTGCAGTGACTCGTACTGCTGCTGCTGCACTCACAGATGTATATATTCAAGTATATAATGAGCAAAGTGAAAAGTTTTGCCTGAAAATATGGTCCTTTTCAGGGCTACTTGTACATATTTTTTTTCCTACCTTCGTATGGCTGTAAGTTGAGAAATTTCGCTGCTATTAAGATGCAAGTACAACCAATTTTTTCGCATTTTAAAGACCTTTCCAAAGACATAAATATGCCTAGGATTATTCGAATTTTTACTTGAGCTACAATGTCAAACGTTCAACTATTGAATAGCGCTTCAAATTGCTTTCGTTTTTTTTCTTCTGTTTGACATGCTAGGTAAACTTAAACCACAATGATGGTTACATACCCTTAAAGAACACAAAATGACCTTTAATTTGGTACGTTTAAAAACTCTCAAATATTTCTATAACAAAAGATATGGTTGTTTTAAGTTTAAAACAACCTGACTCTAAGAGAGACTGCAGTGAATCGTAATACTAAGTCAACTCGTAGGAATCTCTCCGACGTCCGCGTAATAGCTATAAATATACCCTCAAATACAGGTCAAGCGTTAGTGAGTTTCCAACAGCCAAGCCGTAAACATATACGCTCGCTTCCCGAGTATATCTTCGTATCGTCTTTAATCGTAAAACTTCGCATAACGTCAAAAGAAAAAGAAACATATAAAAATGTGTTTTAAAAGTGAATTAGAGTTGCACAGTGAGGACAGTATTAATAGACTATTTATATGTGAATTTTGTAATATATCATTTAGACAAGAAAGTGACCTCGAGCGTCATAAGGACTCATTCCTTTTATCTGAAATTTTGGATGGTTTATTGGACCTGGAAAATGAGCTTGAACTTCGTAAGGGCAAACCTAGTGAAAGTGAGATTTTTTCCGATTCGCTCGGAGCAAAAAATAACCTCGATTTACACAAAACTGTTTTACATAAAAGAATCGAAACAAATGTGACATTTGTTATAAATCATTGCGATACCACGTAACATTCTTTTCTTTGTATGCAGTTGATTTCTAGTATCAGTAGCCTCAATTTGAAAAGTTACTTTATTATCAATAACAGGCTCTTGAAGACATGTCTCCCCAGCCTTCAGAACTTTCTTGCATTTATCATCTGAACTTATCGGGCACATTTTATTGTAATCTTCAGAAGTCAACACTATATCTTCACATAAATCCTTTTTTGAACTTTTTGATTGAACTTTTGTTGATTGAACTTTTTCACTAATATCATTTTCTAAATCTGCATCAATCACTTTTTCCGACAAATCATGATTATCGAAACCTCTTGATTGGTTATACAGAGTTCTCAAATTGCACAAATTTTTCCTTAGCTTTATAAATAAGTTGACTTCTTGAATTTTGTTGTCGAGAGCAGAGCAAATATTTGTCCACACAGGATCCTTTTGCGGTTTCAAGTCAAACTGGCCGTTAGAAAAGTTATATATTTCGAATTGATTCAACTCTTCCAATATAGCCTCAGTACTTAAGGCTGGCTTTCTACCGACAACGCACGTGCGGCTCTCGTGAGGCTGCTACTTGCCTCTCTTGTCTACAGGATGAGGAGACCCCCAAGTGGCACGCGCAACTTATTGCACTGCTCCAACGCTTTTGGGAGTTGGAGGACGTTCCACCTGCGCAGCGCTCATCACCGACCGACAGTCACTGCGAACAGATGTTCGCCCAGCATCAGCGAGATAACACCGGTCGCTATGTAGTGCGGCTTCCTGTGAAGCCTGATGCAGCCAGAACGTTGGGAACCAGCGAAGCGTCGGCTCGTGCAACGCTGCGCAATTTGCATCGCCGCATGAATCGTCAACCGGAATTTGCCGAAGAGTATCGCCTCTTCATGGACACGTATGAGCAGATGGGTCACATAAGGAGACTCCAGCTATCTGAGATCGATGCACCTGAGAGCCATTCAAACTACATACCGCATCACGGCATATGGCAGCAGGGAAACGACGGTCCGAAGCTTCGTGTCGTGTTTGACGCCTCCAGGCCCACTTCTACTGAAGTGAGCTTGAACGACGTATTTTGTCGGGGACCAAAGCTCCAGCGTGACATTTGGACGGTGCTACTCCGTTGGCGAACTTACAAATTCGCTTTCTGTGCTGATATACGCATGATGTTTCGACAAATCTGCGTCGACGAGCGCGACGGCGTGGTCGAAGGCTCGGGCGATATCTGCCGCCATACGCCAAACATTTCTGGCCGACTGGACATCGCAATAAAATTATGAAGCCTCGATCGGCTTATAAGTGGACACGTACAGCCAACTAATAAAGCGAAATTTGTTAATTCTTAGAAGTTACTTGCACTGTGATAATATAATTGAGTTAATGAAATGAAATAAACAGATATTTTTTATACCAATAAACATCCATGTCAAATTTATTTATAATGTTCCATTACCATTCCATTTCAAATAAACATAAGTATTTATGACACAGTAAAAACGAAACATATACTAATATTTTGAACGGAATCATTTCTGGCTGTGACAAGAATATCGCTTTACGCGTGACGGTAAATTGAGATATCTATAATTTCTCCATTTTTATATGTTAAACTAATTAATAAGAATTATGCTATGCGTACGAGGCATAACTTACCGACATCCATTTTTCCGAGGCTTTTTCGTCTAAAAAAAATCAATTAGCTTCTCACGGAATCCATCAAATCCAATATTACAGACATAGTCCTATGTATCCGAGACGTGACTAGAATCTCTTATCAACTTCGTAATCAATACCAATTACAAGAATAAGACTAATTTCGATACAGACTCTATTGCACCATCGTACACGTTACACACATCGCACACAACCATCGCACAGAGCTGTGCGCAACCGTGCCTGGCCTGCGTGTACGTTGCCGCTAAAAATAATAAGCGAAGTGAAAACTTTTGCCGTACGCAATATGGTCCTTTTCAGGGCTACTTGTACATAATCAGATTACTATAAAAGGTTTATCATAATGACATTATTTTTGCAGATTACTATTTCAACTGTAGATAAAAGAAAAATGCCTTTGGTAATCAAAGTTAATATAATAATATATGGATAACAAAACAATGATTGACTTCTGTCTGTTCAAGGGATGTGGTATTGAATTCAAAAAATAATTTGTGAAAGAAAAGCTCTTGTAAGCAGCATATTGTTTAGTACTCGAGTAGACACAGAAAAAACAGAAAACACAGAATAAATATTTTTAGAAATTTTTTCGAAATTAATGAGTAATTAATATGATAAGCAATCCCATGTTAATTTGTTCAAATTCAATAGATGATTTTTAATTTATTCACAATTAGCTTTCATAAAATATTTCTTTGTGCATCTAAAATAAAGCTTAGTAAGACTTTTTGTGTATGAATATATTTGATATAAAATATAACTTGCTGCAAATGACTCATTCATTTATGCATCTTGCATTGTATACAGAGAGAGAGAGAGAGAGAGAGAGAGAGAGAGACAGAGACAGAGAGAGAGATTGCAGTGCAGCAGCGAGACGCGATCTCACGGATCATACACGTGCCGATACCGATCGATGAATTGTTTTTTTTTTCCTCCCTTTTTTACGAAGCTGAGTATGCTGCACAGAGATCGCTACCGGCGAGTTTCGATCGCCTATGCGATAATAACATGGATAAACGCACACGATGTCTTTTATTACGCTGCTCGTGCATCTATACGTAAATATATACATGTGTTAGCTTGTTGACCGCTAGCGAACGAAGCTAATATTATAACCGAGAGCTTTTTTCCTTTTTTATCGCCGTGAGCCGAGTTGCTTCGGTTTCTTTTTCTATGTATATAAAGATAGATGAGTGCGTTGAGACTGGAGTTGTAGCGTGACCGGACACGAAAAAATGTCGGTAAGATGTCCGTCACATGTCCGTTATGTGTCCACATTTGTGACGATACAATTCCAGCGATCTCGATGTGAACGAGAGTTTTGTTTTTGTCACTCGCAGAGATTTCGTGACTGACATATTTCCGTCGCGTTTAAGGACATATTCTCAATTGAAAAATGTCCAGTCATTGTACAACTCTAGTTAAGACACACATAGTGCGGAGTCACTCGCCCTGCGTCAAAGTACACTCGGCAACAAAATTATCGCAACAAAAAAATTCATCGAAATTTAGTCGATTTTCAAATGCTTCTATCTTAGGCTAGATTTATCGTATCGACACGCTTTTTTTTAATTTCTTGGAAATTTTGTCCTCTTTAAATCCATATAAATTAAGATAAGATTCGAGTTGATGTTGAGTTACCAGTAGTATTTGAGTGCGACACTAAAAATTACTGAAAAAAAATGACTGTTTGAACGTGTACCAGTAACACAGTAATTTTTCTATCAAATCTAACATACACCATCGCAAAGTGCTCTTTTTAACGAGTAATTTAAAAAAAAAGACCTCTCTACGATTTTTTTAACGTCCTGTAGGTCGTTTTGAAGATACCATTTAAAGTACGTAAAATCTCCCGTTTAGCTGAAATCAAGACGATTTTCTGGGCTTTTTGCGTACATAAACCATACCTTCAAATCGACCTACAGGGCGTTAAAAAAATCGTAGAGGTCTTTTTTTTTTAAATTACTCGTTAAAAAGAGCACTTTGCGATGGTGTATGTTAGATTTCGATAGAAAAATTACTGTGTTACTGGTACACGTTCAAACAGTTATTTTTTTTCAGTAATTTTTAGTGTCGCGCTCAAATACTACTGGTAACTCAACATTAACTCGAATCTTATCTTAATTTATATGGATTTAAAGAGGACAAAATTTCCAAGAAATAAAAAAAAAAGCGTGTCGATACGATAAATCTAGCCTAAGATAGAAGAAAGCATTTGAAAATCGACTAAATTTCGATGGATTTTTTTGTTGCGATAATTTTATTGCCGAGTGTATAATTATTTTCGGACTCTCGAGATGCGATCGGTCGCGGCCCTTTAACAGAACGAATAAAAAAAATGTATATTTGGCGCGCAATTTTTCACGGGATATACGTAAAAGTATAATAAGTCGCGGATCGCTATGATGTACTTTTTCTTCGGCACGAATCTCGGTCAAAGGCAAGAGAGATGATTCAGCTGAAAAAAGGTATGATTCGGCCTGCGTGCGATCATTGTTATACACGAGACGAGGAATCGAGAGTCCGTACGTGTATATACAACAATTATGATTCAGATCGAACTATGTATATCTGGGCAACGAGGCTAAAATAATATACGCGCGCCCGTGTTTTTCTTTGATTTTTATTTTATCTCTTTTTTTTTCGTCGAGTAACTTGCTGCATTTTTGCTTGTCTGGGCAGCAGCTGCGATATATGTATAATATATAATGTATACGCAAATTTCGTCGAATGAATTTTCGAAAACCATTATAAACAGCCTCGTCGCTGTGCAAAAAGTGAGAGTGCGAATCCGGAGCTATAGAAAGAGAGAGAAAGAGAGAGAGAGATACGCGTATTATATTATAAACACAGAACCCGTTTTAAATATCTCTCTCTCTCTCTCGCGCGCGTCTAGCTGCTGCCTCCGAGCTTAAATAAGTCTTTGTTCCGCGAACAATAATATGGATATACGCGTGCGCGCGCAGCAGCAGTTTCGGAACAACCGGAACGCATACAGCGAGTCGCCTGCCTGAGGAAAAGCCTAGATAAACTCGTATAAAAGAAAAAGACATGCATACGCGTATATCGCACAATACACAGCAGCAGCTGTGCGCTTATACGCCGTCACCGCCGCCGCCGCGATCTAGAGCAGCTTAGATTTTTTCTCTCTCTCGCTCGCATTTTCATTTCTCTTACGAGCTTATGCACACGCGTCGAAATTTAAAAGGCTCGCACGAGAGAAAGAGTCGGGCAATTTTAGCGCCCGCGCGCGCGCCAGGCAAGGACGCTACAACGGATATGTGTTGTTACAGCGGGAAAAAGGAGCTCGACTTTACTACTGTCATGTGTGTGGGTGATATTTAAAATTCCGCACACGCTCGCTCGCGCGCACAGCAGCAGCAGTGCAGCAGCAGCGTGGATTTAACTAAAAATGACATAAGCGCGACGGCGTTTTATACGTGTATGCACGGCGACGAGGAAAATTCCTTTTTCTTCCTCCTCTTCATTTTTTCCATTGAAAAATTTACAGCGAAAAATGCCGCTATCCATGCATATCGCACGTGTGTGTCTGTGTGTCCATTTACGTGCATATTGCGCTGCAAATACATAGCAAAACAGAGAGAGAGATGAAAATTCGTGCGAACGATCGCGATGCACAACTCGGTTATACGAAGGGTCGCAGAGAGTAGGAGGGGAGGGGAGGGGGGCATGCTTTTCGGGCTAGAAGAGGTGTGGGGAAATATTTCCCCGCAGCTCCCTCGAAACTTCCTGCATAATACACAGAGCTTGCGCGCGAGCGAGCCCCACGAGGGAGAGAGGGCGGGAGGAGAGGTAGGTACACACGAGCGCGCGCGCCCGGGCCAAAGTCTCCGCGTGTCCTGGTGCCCTCTCGAACACACGCTTCTTCCTCTCTCTCTCTCGCTTGTGCGCGCGCGAATCGATGCGGTTTTCCAGCTGGTATTATGGCATAGCACACGGCTATATATGTACATACGTTTTCTATTCTATGCACTACACACACACACACAGAGTCTCAAGCATTATACATAGTGTAAGTGTTTTTCTCGCAGGGATCGAGATGCCGCTGCTGCTGTGAACCGCAGGGGAGCTGTTAATATCTCTTGCTCGCGCGAAGGCTTTTAAGGATTATAATTGAAAATGAAAACAGCTGCACACCGCGCGCGTGCGGCGTTCGATCGGCTCTCGAGGCTTATATATATTGTATACGGATACTTTACGGATATTATAATGTATTATCCCTGTAAAAATTTGTTGCTGCTGCTGCTGCTGCTGCTGTGCAATAAACCGTGTATTAAAGGTGCCGACACCGATTTCGGTGTTCTTTATGACCGACAAAAATGTTTTTTGCTCGTCAACGCGGCCAAAAAGAACAATCGATTGTTAATAATCGAGCGTAGGGAGGGTACCAAAACAAAAAAAAAGATCGAACGAAAGAAACGGGTTATATGTATGACACTTTTTCACAACGCAGCTGTTAATTGCGAACGAGCAAAAGTCTTTTATAGCTCTCTCACACACAGTTATTATTATACGATCCTTGACGAGCTACTAAATATTCTCTCTCTTTTTCTCCATGCACATTTCCACTGCAGCAGGAAAATAC